CAATAAAAAAAAAATCCTCCCAACTAAAAAGAGCCAAGGACCAGATGAATTCAATGCAGAAGTCTACTAGATCTTCAAAGAACTGGCATCAATATTCCTCAAATTATTCCATAAAACAGAAAAGGAGTGAATACTTCCAAATTCTTTCTATGACGCTAATATACCAAAACCAGAGAAAGACTCAACATAAGGAAAATTATAAGCCAATATCCCTGATGAACATAGATGCAGAAATTATCAACAAAATACCTGAAAACAGAATTTAAGAGTACATCAAAAGATTATCCACCATGATCAAGTTGGCTTCATCCCAGAGATACAGGGATAGTCCAACATATGTAAATCAGTAAACGTAATCCACCACAGAAATACACTCAGGAACAGAAACCACATGATTATCTCATTAGAGGCAGAAAATGCCTTTGACAAAATCCAAAATGCCTTCCTGATAAAAGTCATGGATAATTCAAAGATATAGGGGACAGATCTCAACATAATAAAGGCAACATACAACAAACCCACAGCCAACATCATCCTAAGTGGAGGAAAAACTCAAAACATTTCCGCTAAAACAGGGACAAGACAAGGATGTTCACTCTCCGTTCCTGTTCAATACAGTGCTTGAGGTTTTAGTTAGAGAAGACACATGAAGGAGATAAGGGGGTAGAAACTGGAAAGGATGAAGTCAAAGTATCCTTATTTGCAGGCGATGGGATTCTATACATTAAAGATGCCTCCAGAAAACTCCCACAGCTGATAAACACAGTCAACAAAGTAAGCAGGACACAAAATTAGGACACGGAAGTCAGTAGCCTTCTTATACAGCAACAGCAAACATACTGAGAAAAAAAAAATCAGGAAAACAATCCCATTCATGATAGCCTCAAAAATATTTGTATCTTAGAATAAATCGAACCAAAAAAGTAAAAGACTTGTATAATGAAATTTTTAAAACAACGACAAAAGAAACTGAAGAAGATATCAGAAGATGGAACGACATCCTGTTCTCATGTATGGGAGGAAGAATATTGGGAAAATGACCATCTTACCAAAAGCAGTCCACAGATTCGATGCAATTCCCATCAAAATACTAACACAATTCTTCACAGAAATTGGAAAAATAGTCTCAAATTTCATATGGAAACACAAAAAATCCACAATAGCCCACACATCCTGAATAATAAAATAAGAGCTGGAGGCATCACCATCCCTGATTTCAAATTATAGTGAAAAGCTATAGCTGTGAAAACAATAATAATGGCATAAAAACAGACACATTGGTCAATGGAATAGAATTGAGTGCCCAGATTTAAGTCCATGCACTTATAGCCACCTGATTTTTTTTTTGATGAATGTGCCAAAAACACACATTGGAAAAAATCGTCTTTAACAAATGTTGCCAGTGAAACTGGATGTAGAATGTGAAACTAGACCGATCAAGGAGCTCAACATAAGACCTGATACCCTGAATCTGATAGAGGAGAAAGCAGGGAATATACTGGAATGCATAAGCACTGGAACAAGCCCTTAATAGTTCAAGCATTAAGACCAACAACAAATGGGGCCTCATGCAACTAAATGGGTTCTGTACATCAAAAAACACTATCAGTCAACTGAAGAGGCATCTTATGGAATGGGAAAAAAAATCATTACCAGCTATATATCTCATAGAGAGTATCTAGAATATACAAAGAACTCAAAAACCTAAACCTCAAAAACCAAACAACCCAATTAAAAATCAGGACAAGAAACTAAACAGAATTCTCAAAAAGATGAAATGCAAATGGATGAGAAACATTTTTTAATGATAAATATCTGTAGCCATTAGGGAAAAAGAAAATTGAAATGACTTTGAGATTTCATCTTACCCAAGTCAGAATGGCTAAGATTTCCAAAATAAATTATGACAAATGCTGGTGAGGATGTATGAAAAAGGGAACACTTATTCACTGCTAGTGGGAGTGAAAGCTGGTGGAGCCACGGTGGAAATCACTGTGGAGGTTCCTCAAAAAACTAGACTGCTTTTGAGCTTATAGCCAAAGCACGCTATATCCTACTACAGAGATAACTATTTATCCGTGCTCATTGCTGCTCTATTAACAATAGCCAGGAAATGGAAACAACTTGAAAGTCCATCAACTGAAGAAAGCATAATGAGAGTATGGTGCATTTATACAATGGGATATTATTCAGTTGTTAAGAAAAACAAAGTGGAAATGGTCATTCTGAGTGAGGTAATCTAGAGCTAACAAGACAAAACTGGTTCACTCTCCTCATATCTGGATGCTAGCTTTGAATCTTTAGATATTTATGTTTCAATTGGAAAATCCATAGAGTGCAGAAAGTAGTTAGGGGCTGTGGGACGTATGCTTCATGGGAGGGGAGATAGAATGCAGTGACATAAAAATGGAGACAAGAATAAAGGAATAGGAAGATTTAAGTGGTGTGGGGAATTGGAGGTCAGGATAGAGGACAGGATAGAGTGTGGGGAGGGGTAACTAACACTAAAGCCCCTTTGAAAAAGTCATATGGAAACCTACTACTGTACAGACATAAACATATATAGCAAGAGTTAAACAGAGTTATCCTATAACAGATGTTCAGTGGTTCCAGTGGATACCACAGGCTAGCACATGAAAAGCCCAATGCCAAAGAATGGGCTCCCTCTTTTGGAGTTGTTGACCAGGGGGGTCCCATAGATCTTCAAATAGTTCTGGCTATTGCAATTTCTTTTGGTTGCCCTCCAGAACTTGGTGGTAAGACCTTATTGCTGAAGATACTACTTATGGGAGTCACCAAAAAAATATGGAGAAACTAAGCTAGTACTGAGCTCAAACCTTCATTTATACTGCCTACCTTTTATAGTGCTAGAAGGTGCTATGCATGCTACCAGAAAAGTGACCATCAACCTTACCCAGCTGTAAACTTTGTGAGCTACAATAATGACTGACCTGGTAAGATACACCCACTGGTACAATAGTGGCATGAATGTTATGGGAGTAACCAATCACTCTCGGATTGAAGTTAAGAATTCTTTTTCTGCCAGGCGTGGCGACAGACATCTTTAGTCCTAGTACTTGGGAGGCAGAGGTAAGAGGATCCCTGTGAGTTCAAGGCCAGCCTGGTCTACATAGTAATCATAGTAATATAGTGAGTTCCAGGCCAGTTTGGGCTACAGGGAGACCCTGTCTCAAAAAGACAAAAAAAAAAAAAAAAAAAAAAAAAAAAAAGAATTATTTTTCTGAGATGGGAATGAAGTTGGTAGAGTGTTTGCCTCACATGCATGAAGCCCTGTATTATACCCCTAACAGAATATAAAATGTGGTGGCACATAGGTGGTAGAGGCAGGAGGATCAAAAGTTCAAAGTCATCCTTAGTTACATACCGAGTTCACAGCCAGTCTGGGCTATATGAAAGCATGTCTCAAAAAAAAAAAAATTCAACTTTTTTGTTGTTGTTCTCTGCGTTCTTCTGGTCTTCCCCTTCCCTTTTCTTTTCCCCCAGGAATTTGAAACTGGCTGCTATTTTTTGCTAAATGTGGCTTTTCTAGATTCTTTTCAAAACCAATTTGAAGATCCTTGAGCTGTTTAAACAGAGTCTGTGAGAATTCTCAGTCTACCCACCAGACCCACCTGAGGAGCTGGCACACACCAATGATTTCTTTATGCTGAGCCCTCTCTACATCTTACCTTGTTAACAACAACAAATCTAAGGTGTAGTTTCTATTGTCTTCAATTCAGAGATGAAGAATCCATAGAACAGAGAAATTAATTTCTGTAACTTGCCTCAGCACTAAAATTACTGAACCAGGATTTGGAGTGAGGTAGTCCAAATTTGGAGCATGGAGGACTGCTTTTACATTTTTGTCTCTAGAGTCATCAAAGTGGTCACTCAGCACGAGCAGTTCTTTGTAGGAGGCAATTCTGTTGCTAATATGTACTTTGTGTGTTTTCCCCAAATGGTTTGTTGTTTTGGTTTATCTTTTTTTTCTTCTACTCTGCTCCAGAGCAGAGGATGATGGTGGGAAGTGACTATAAGCATGAGAGCCCCTTCTGGAAGTCTGACTCTCCCTGCTCAGGCACTCTCCCCTTCTCTTCTCTAGACCTGGTTTAACTGTTCTCACAGAAGCAAAGAGATTCTGAAGAGAGACACTTGTGCCCCACTTCTTTGGCTGTAAGACTACTGAGACAATAGGCCCTAAGGAACTGGATGTCCCCTGGAGTCTCAGGCTAGGGAAGGAAAAGCCTGGGCCAGATGGAGACTTGTCTCCTGGCAAGAGATTTCACACAGCTTTGCTGAGCTGTCAGACCACCTTGCAGGAGAGACTGGAGCCAAGACAATGATGGATCAATGATGGATGGGCCCACATTTTGACCAGTGATGCTTCTTCAGGCATACCTCTTGCCCCTATGTAAACCCAAAGCTCATATCAGAACCCTGAAGATGGACTTGGGGATCACTGGGAATCTTTATTTGTCCCTCTTCTCAGTGCAGCCACACTGAATAAATCTCTTTTCTCTACCTTTCACTACGACTGTGTCTTTAATTGGTTTATTAAAGGTGGGTGAGTGGTTGAGCCTGACTTGGTAGGTCTGCCGCCACCCAGACTTTGACTGTAACAGCTCCATTAACACTGGGAAGTCTTCCAGCTGAAAACAGGCAGTTTTACTCCCTCCTTCCTCCCCAGAGATGTACCGTTGAGAGATCTGGCATTCTGGCCACCTTCAGTTAGGTTCAGGACTGTGGAGAGGGAAGGTTTCCCTTTCCCATGATTCCCAAGATCATGATGTGCCCTCCAAGTTCTAATCAGTGCAAGTGGCGTGCTCATAGGACACAGGGCTTTGTTAAAGAAAGTGAGTTAGGTGTCAGTACGGAAGTGGCTTGCTATGCTGTTGCTTAGTAACTGACAGATGAGGGTCACATGGTGTTCAATCTTTCCAGCTGGATTTTTCTCTGAACTGACCCCCACATACTCCACCCATTTTTCTTGGAAGCCAGCGCCTCCCTAATCTGTATAAATTCCACACCACAGAAACTGAGTAGCTTTGGAAACTGACCTTGCCGAGGAGCCCAAGCTGGAAATTTAGGTAAGTGACCTAAGAGGTAGGGCAAGGAGCTGTTTCTGCTTGAGGCTTAGAAAAGGTGAGTGAAACTTGCTGAGAAAGCGTGGACTGACACAAGTTCCAGCAAAGCTCCGGCCAGGCAAACAGCTGAAGGAAGACAGGTGGGGGCCAAACACAGGCAGGTGTAAAGAACCTGTGGGTGGGGAAGCAGGAGCCCCCAAGTTGGGGAAGGGAATATGACTCAATTCCTTTATAATGCCAGTGCCGGGCTCTGGACCGAGCTTCTCTTGTATTATAAGATAAGGGGACTCTGTCAGCCACGGTCCAGGATATCATGGTGATAACTCAGGAGTACAATTTAGCTTATAGTGTATTCAAAACTATCTTCTGATGAGCCATGTGAGTACTAGATACAAATGTGAAGGAAATGCCAGTATTCCCCATTTCCAGTTTAGATGACATCATAGAGCACCACCTAGAGAGAAGGCTGGCTTTAGTGAGTGTGAGTCAAGGAACAAGAGCTGGTCTAATCACCTGCAAGATCTCTCAGAGAGGAGAATCTTCCTGGCTCAACCAAATGAGACCAGGGACTGTGCTGGAAGGGGAGTGGGGGCTGTGCTGCGGAGGAGAGAGCTGTTCTAGGGAGGCTGAGGTGGAGGACGTGTGCTGAGGAGGCAGGGAGCCCAGGTGGAGGGTCGGCCAGGGTCGGGGTGCTGTGCTGGGGAGGAGAGAATGCTGTTAGGGAGGCCGAGGTGCGGCTGCAGCCCTCCTCTAAGTGCGTGCTGTTCCCTCTCTCGTCCTCTGCCTGTCAGGCCTCTCAGGGTTGTAAAGCTACTATGGCTCTGGAGAAGTCTGTCGTCCTGTTTCCACTGCTAGTCCTGGTGCTGCTGGTGCTAGGATGGGTCCAGCCTTCGCTGGGCAAGGAATCTTCAGCCGAGAAGTTCCTGCGGCAGCACGTGGACTCAATTGATTCCCCCGGAAACCTTAGCCCCACCTACTGCAACCAAATGATGCTGCGCCGGAATATGACAAAGGGATCCTGCAAGCCTGTGAACACCTTTGTGCATGAGCCTCTGAAAGACATTAAGGCTGTCTGCTTCCAGGAAAATGTCACCTGTAAGAACGGCAATAGCAACTGCTACAAGAGCCATGCCAGTCTGCACATCACAGACTGCCGCACGATAAGCAGCTCTAAGTATCCAGATTGTGCTTACAAGACCAGCCAGGAGCAGAAGCACATCATTGTGGCCTGCGAGGGGGACCCCTTTGTGCCGGTTCACTACGATGCCTCCGTGTGAGGCTCCACCTAAGCCAGACCAATAAGATTCCCCTGTCCCCCAGCTTCATCTTCCCAATACCCGTCTCCCCATTTCTTTCTTTTCCCTGAAAAAAAATAACTCCTCTTAGGCTTCTAAGAAATACAAACATGCTTTTTCTCTCTGGAACCTTGTTTCTGCGTGGCTCTGGGCCTGGTGAGCATCCTCCGTTTCTTTCAATAAAACAATTGCACCCCCCTGATTCCTCAAACAGCTCATCCAGGCACTGTTTCTTTGATTGCTTTTCCAACCAGGAGATAAGAACACAACAAATCTAATTAATTCTGGTGAACAGCAGATAGAATCATTAAATGCCTTCCCTCTGACTCTGGGATTGCAGTAACTGGAGAAAATCCCTTTTCTTAGAGTCCTCGAGGCCAAGTCTGAAAGTTTTAAGTGTGGGCTGTTTTAAATAAAAAGAGATCTACAGCCTTAGTCACACAATCATAGTGGGTGAAGTGACAGAGGGTAGAGGTCAACAGCATTATTTTCTAATATACAAAGGAAGGAAGGAAACAGTCCTCACAGAGAGACCCCAGGGTAGGGAGGAGGAGTCTCTGAGATTATGACGCTAAACTTCCATTTTCCTTTTTGTTGAGGGATTAAAACAGAAAAAAATGGTTCCCTTATTTGAGATATAAGAACTTTTATTATTTATTTGTGTGTGTGTGTGTGTGTGTGTGAGAGAGAGAGAGAGAGAGAGAGAGAGAGAGAGAGAGAGAGAGAGAGAACATGTCACACAGCATGTGTGGAGGACAGAGGATGACTTTCAGGAGTTAGTTCTCTCCTTATACAGTGTGGGTTCTGGGGGTTGAACTCAAGCTGTCAATCTCGGTAGCAAGTGCCCTTACCAACTGAGCCATCCCACTGGCCCCTGGAAATGTAAGAACTTTAAACCCAACAGCTGGAAGGGGCTTTAGAAGTGACGGGACTGAGGGATAACAAGTAGATTCTAGTTTGTCCAACAACTCTAGTTGGTAGAAGCTGTCTAGAATGCTTGCTGGCTTTCTCTCGTCTCGATGGACAAGTTTGAATTGTCCCCACAAGGTTCATGCGTTGGAAACCAAATCCCTAGTGCAATAGTGTTGGAAGGTGGAACTTTTAAGAAGTAGTAGGACTAGGCCGTTCATGCCTGAGAGCCTAGGAGTTGGAAGTGGGGGAAAAGATCAGGGGTTCAAGACCAGTCTTGATGACACAGCAAGTTCAAAGCCAGCCTGAGCCATATGAGACTCTGTCTCCAAAAAGTAAATAAATAAATAAAAAGTTTAAAAAGTGGTTAGATCATCTGGGCTCCTCCCTCATGAACGGGTCAGGGTCGTGATTGTGGAAGTGGATCCTGTCTTCCTCTTGCCCTTCCACTTTCCTCATAGAACAATGAAGCCACAAGGCCCTCAGCAGATGTGCCTTTCCGTCTTAGCCTTCCTTACCTCCAGAGCCATGAATGAAACAGAATTCTGTTCATTTAAAGTTACCTAGTCTCAGGGATAGTGGTACGGCCCTACACAGTGGACCAAGGATCTTATCGTAGCACATCTCAGTGGCCCAGATCTTATCCTAGCAGCTTTAAGTGTACTGATGAAACTGAGTCTTCTGCCTCTTTTCACCTGCCAATCGTCCATTTTTTCCCCTGCTTCTCTGTATGGTAAATTTCTCCTATTTCAGCATCCGGTAGTAACTCCTCCCCCAGCCCATCGCTACTCCACATGAATACAGATCAGTCATATAATACAGATCAGTCATATAATACAGATCAGTCCTATACAACCAAAATGAGTCCTTCCATTAAGAACAAATTGTTACATTAGATTCTTCCTTTCCATGTGCTGCCACCACCTGCATGTGCACACGGAGCTCTCTCTCGTGAAAGGAAATGAGACTCCTGATCTTGCCTTCAACGGGCCGCTTCCTAGTCCCTCACGTCTTCAGACTAATTCAGACATTGTGGAGCATGTGGGAGTGCATAGGACACTCTCAGTCTTAACAGCTACAGTGGGAAGCAGACTTCAGTGATGCTTTTGGGAAGCATTCATGAAGGGCTTGTCCATGCATGCTCCTGATTCATGATGGGTTCTAAGTGGACCGTACAGAGTGAAAGTGTGCTTCTCTAGGACACCTGAAAACAGCTTAAAACAGTTTCCTAGTAGCCACTTTTTCAGAAACAAATTGCATAGCTCCTCTGAAAATACTTTAATAGTTTTATGTTTATTTGGGGTGTCTTTCTATTTTATGTTTAGATTATTATTGTTATTATTATTAGTATTTTGAGACAGGGTCTCAAGTAACCCAGACTGGCCTGGAGCTTGTTATGTAACCAACAAGGACCTTGAACTTCTGATCCTCTTTCTGCCCCCTCTCAAGTGCTGAGATTGTAGTGTATGCCTCTTTGCCTAGCTGTTTTAGGTGGGAGAGAACGTCTGTCCAGGCTTATTTTCCTTCCCATCCCTTTGTCTTCTTTAAAGGGAGGGGAAAAAAGGTAGGGCTAGAAAGATGGCTCAGGTGTTAAAAGCACTTAACTTCTTTCTCCCGAGACCAAAATTCAGTTCCCAGCACCCACATGGCAGCTCACAACTGCCTGTAACTACAGTTCCAGGTGATCTGATGCCCTCTTCTGTCTCTCTTTTGACTGGGTGTAGACTTTTTCATCCTGGCACTCAGGAGGCAGAGGCAGGTGGAGCTCTGTGAATTCAAGGCCAGTCAGGGCTACACAGTGAGACCCTGTCTCAACAAATCAAATCAAAACAAAACAAACAAGGCCTTATCTTTCAGAATAATTTTAGGTTCACATAGTGATCCAGCCATGATTGTCTTCATAACTAATGATAGAGGAATTGCCACTCTGAGTGGATAGCAGGGCTGCTGTGCTAGTGAACATAATGGCTATCCTTTAAAGTTCATGACGTTCATATGTCACTTCTAGTTTCTTTTTTCTGTAACTCTGGGAAAAGCCTATATTGAGGGTGAGTTTCCTTCCTTTTAAACCTACATTTAGTCTACATGTGGTAGATAATTTGACTAGGCTCCTAGTTTAGTCCCAGACCTACTATGGCCCACTTCACTCATATTTTCCTCTTGGGACACAGCTTCCATGCGGGGATAGGTTTGATCATGTCAAAGTCCATTATCTTAATATTTTTGACTTTCCAGCTGAGTTCACACCTACATTTTATCAGAGACATGTAGTTTCTAGTAATATATTATTACACACCCTGGAAAAGTCACGCCATTGCGATCTATGCTGGTTCAGAGAAATCTAAGCCATTTTAGACATTTTAACATACTAGCTGATTTCCAATACCTGCCAGGGAACATTTTCCTCTTAGACCATGTAGACAGCCTCTGAGAGTCAAAACGGGCAGGTAGCCTCCTCCTGGACTCATACATCTTGCCAGTCCCTAAGAATCCAGGGAGAGTTTCTGCTTGTCTCAGAGCCCACAAAGGGGATGCTGATTCAGAAGAATACCAGCCATGAGAAACATAGGAGTAGGGTCAGGAGTTTCCTTGACTTTGCTGAAAATATGTTTAATGATGGTATGGGGCTGAATGACACATCAGACCAGCATCATGGCCTTTCCTCCTTATCTCCCCTTCCTCTACCATAAACACTACCAAATGGGTATTTAAGGGGCGGCCTCTGGGAGAAAGAGACTGGGATTATTGTAACACAGTTACAAAAATCTGTTTCCGTGGGAAAGTGAGGGCATGATGTGCACATGACTGTAGATCTACAGAGTCTGTGTCTGTATTAGTTACTTTTCTGTTGCTGTGATAGAAACACTGACCAAAGCAACTTATAGAAGGAAGAGTTTATTTGAGCTTACAGTTCCAGAGGGGCATGAGTCCATCATGGCAGGTAGGCATCGTGGCAGAGACATCTGGAGAAGGAGTGGAAACTAAGCTGTACATCTTCAAGAAAGCACAGGAAGCAAGAGAGCTACTCGAGATCCGGCAAGGCTTAAGAACTCTCTAAGCCCACCCCCAGTGACATGCTTCCTCCAACATGGCCACACCTTCTAAGACCTCCCAAAACAGCAGCACCAACTGGGGACATTCTCATTCAAACCACCACAGCATCTACGCCCTGCTCCCAGTTCTTTATTTTCAATTTTTAAAGACTATCACACAGTAAAATTGAGCTTTCAGTATTTGACTATATACATTTTAATAGTTTGGTAAACACTACTACAGTAAGAAAATAAGACAATTCCTTCACTCCAAAGATGTCCTGTGCTACTATTAATTAATTAATTAATTAATTGATTGATTAATTAACTTATTAATTCCCTCTCATTGCTCCTATTACCTGGAAACCAGTGTTCTATTCTCTCTCACTTTTTTCTCTTTTGAAATATTATACAATCTAATTGCATAGTATGCAACCTCCCAAGATGGGCATTTTTTACTCCACATAATGATTAGGAAATGCACACACATTGTTTCATGTGTCCCTTTTAGTGCGTCTACCCCTAGGTAGAATTCCATCACACAGATGTTCCATGGCTTGATTATCCATTCACCAATCAAAGGACATTTTAGCCCTTTCTGCCTTGGCAGTTATGAAGAGAGCTGCTTTCAACATCTGTATACAGGTTTTTGTGCAAATTGGTGAAGGATAGCCACTGAGATGAAAGGAGCATCGGAGACTCTAGAAACAGACTTCCCGCATACACACAGCCAGTTGTTTTTTGATAAATGAATAAAGCAATTCAAAGAAGGAAGGATCACATTTCCACAAATGTTGGAGCAGTTGAATATCCATATGGCAAACTTCCAGACCTTGACTCTTCCTTTTCTTGCAACTTCTTGTCAACCTTAAGTTGTCAACCTGGCACATTCGGGAAGAGGGAAACGCAACGGAGGAATGGTCTCCATCAGATTGGCCTGTGGGCATTTTTCTTAATTGCTGGTTGACATAGGAGGACCCAATCCACTGAGGGTGGTGCCATCCCTGGGCAAGTGGGCCTGGGCTGCAGAAGAGAAGTAGCTGAGCAAGTCAGTAAGTTGTGTTCCTCCATGGTCTCTGCTTTAGCTTATGCCTCTAGGTTCCTCCCTTGGCTCCCCTCCACTGTAAGCAGTAAGGCAAAATAAACCTTTTCCTCCCCAAGTAGTTTTTGGTCAGAGTGCTTTATCACAGCAATGGAAAGCTAACTAGGACACTCCTTCCCAGAAGCTGCTAACAGTGGAGAGCCCTGCAGTATGATTCTAAGTCCTAGA